CATACCGGCTGCCCTGGTCCCTGGGCAGTAGCTCGTACAGTAATCAGGTCTTGTGTGATTTTTTCAAATAAATATATTGATCTGTCGTGTTACTCTAGCAACAACCTCAGGAAATAACGGAGGTGAAAGGGGGCAAACACAGCTACAGGCAATGAATCAAAACACGAGAAACACTTACCGTGGACGCGATGCGTTCTCGTGCAGTCTTGCGTGACCGCGTCGACCTAGAATTGATGGATGGCGCCTGAGTCGGCATTCTCCGAGTGGGTTGCGTTATCCGGCTTGAATCCGCGCCCATCCGGATTGAACGGATTGGCGACCCATCAGGCCGGATCGGATTCTATCCGGATAGAATCCGAATCCGCGGCAACACTAATTATAACGCATTATAAATGCCCGACGGTGCATTATAATGCATTATATTTGACCGCCCAATGTGCCGATGCCCTACCCTGATCTATCTTGTCGAGGACATCGAACAGTTAGGGATAATGGACCGAGAATTTTCGGGGTTCGAGTAAGTACGAAGGCAGTGCAGTTTGTGTACAAGCGCCCCGTTCTGTATTTATGGTGTTTCCTGATATCCAAGGAGCTGTGGAATGGGTTTATGTTTGTTGCTTTGAAGTCCATGCATATTCGAGCGGGCGCGCAAATGGGTCGGAAGTCTGGATGAGTACGTGATTTAATCTTATCTCCTGGTTTCCCAAGGACAGATAGTTCTCGAAGAGGACCCACGGACTATATCTCGAGGTGTTCTCGCAATCTATCGCCTTGCACCAAGGAATTCAAGTTGCACGAGTTCTCGGAGTTAAATAGGATACTAGGGTGACACGGAAGGATATACCGGAGGTTAGCACCTGCGAGTACGTCTCGAATTTTAATTACAAAGCAAGACAAGGCGGTCTTCCCTGCAAGGTTCGCCCTCAGGTTTGATAGCAGAGCGACAGGTCGCAGCTGCTAGCCTGGCTGTCTGGAAGAGTACTCTGCTCTTGGTAAATCACTGGCATCTCGCAGAGATTGAAGTACCTTTTGAAACCGGCACCTGCGGAGTATGGGCTGGATTACATAGAGAACTTTGCGGGTTTTGGTTGAGCGTCCAGCGGTTGCGAACGGATATACGGGTAACCACATGTTCACAGGAAGTGTTGAGTCACTGGCATGTACGACTCCCTGCGTTCTGAGGCTTGGACATCCTGCGAAGCTGGAAGATGTTTGTTCCGCATCGCACCTGCCTTGCAGTGAGTGTCGCCCAACGGCAGTATCCTACGAGCCAACAGATGACACTTAGTCGATACATGAGTGACGGCCAGAAGTCCTTGAAATAACAGAGTCGGCGCATTCTTCAGACGCTTGACTTGCTACAGGCGGTCGACTTCCAGGCCCGAACGAGGTGCTTTACTTCGTCCCCGATCAGCTCGAGCGCGGCGTTGCTCATCGAATAGGTCGGGCAATTGGTCACTCGTGTCCTGGTCGGGCTGAAATATAGCGGCCAGGACGGCAACACGGCTTTCGGCCTCCCGCGCCTCACGGAAACACAGTTCGTGTGTAATGATAATATGCTCGTCCGACATTTCTGTTGGGTTTGGATCTACAAACTTATTTGAGATGCTCCATGACGTGTGAAAATGCGATACTCACAAGTGAGGTTCAACATCGTTAGAACCCCCGGGCAGACCACCATCACACTTGAAGTCATCCGCTGAGCATGACCCCTGGTGTGAAGCACATACCCATATCATGGAGGAAAATGTGCCTAGTTCGTTTCGCCATAAGCACTTGTACATATTGAGCTCCGCCCCCAAGCGGTGGGACTCCCCGAAGGCAAATATGTTTTTCGAATCACGGGATACCGAGAGCCCACGTGGCCGACTTCGATCGACGGGCGCATCGGGTCAAAGACGCAAATGTAAATATGGCGACCTATCTGTTCCGGAACCTTCGGAGCACCCAGTCAGACAACAGGCGACCGAAGTCCCAGCAATTCACTCTGCCTGCAGTGGTACGAAACATTTTGAACGCCGATTTCAAGTGGATTGTGGTCGGACATGCTACAACGTTGCGGTTAATTGACTTGCCACAATCAGAATGTTCGTGAGGACTCACTCAGCTACTGGAAAGCAGCATCCTCTGGCGACTACAGTTCCGCTGACACTGATGCTGCTCCGTTAGCGATAGTTCATCGTCGCAGCCTAAGCCCACATCGGACGCATGACACCTCCGCCCGAACACACAGCTGCGCTCCGACAATGACCATCTCGCGCCCGGGAACATCCTTGAAATCCCTGGAAAAATTGTTAATCGTCCTATGTGAAGCCATCCCCTAAGTTTGATCCTTGGTACGAAGCAGATATCCGTCTTCCCGAGGAAGGCGTGCTGATTTGCGTTCGCCGATGGCATTCGCACTTACTCAACTCTGACTCCAAGTGGTAAAGAGCTCTCCGAAGGGAGCTTTTTCCACCAGACGATCGGGTACCGGGTGTTGACGTGGCCGACCTCGATCGATAGAGCTAGTAGCAGGCTGGTCGTATCGACGTAACTGGTTAAAGATGTAAAATTTGAATATTGTGGCTTATCTGTTCCGGAACCCGCGGAGACTCTGACAGGATAAGGACAAACACCCGCTAGCGACCGATGCTCCGGCACCTCTACTCGCCTACAGTGGTCGAATCATCTTGAACGCCAATTTCAAGCTGATTTTGGCCGAACATCGTCTACAACATTGCAGTTAGTTGACCCGCCACAATTAGGTTTTCAACAAAGACTCGCCCAACTGACTGGAAGCGGCATCCTCCGACGACTGCAATCCCGCTGACACTGCCCTATTGGCGATAGTCGATGGTTTGCTGTCAATCTGTCACAGCCTGAGCCCACAGACGATGGGACCTCCGCCCGAACACAGGG